TGCACCAGGGCACCAACATTCAATGTTCGATAAGCCTTACTCCCAGGAAAAGTGCCCAAAGGGTTGCAGTTCCTTTTCTGCCAGTGCACAGTACAGATGGGCACAGACAGCTGGTTTGCACCACTGGCGGGGTTCATTTCCTGGCCTCACAGCTGATTGGTGGTTCAGTACCCCATCCTCTCCAGCGGGAACCCAATCAGAGTCAGTGCCCAGAGGAGGTGGGGCTAACCCAAAGATCACCTGTTCAGCCAGGAAATTAACTGCACCAACCAGTGATTCGTGACATTCGTATTCGTGAACGAATACAAATATCCCCATCCCAGCTGCATCTAATGTGAGTCCAGCCCCCAGAACTAGCTGTCCACTCATGCGTCCCAGTACCGCCAAAGCCCCACTCTTCCCGCCAATAGCTCTGCCATCTTCCTGCTCATCTAACCACTCCAGGCAGGGGGTGGGAGGACCAGTCTTCCCGCATAGCTGCTGAGTGGGCAGCCGAGCAGGAAGATGGCAGGTCTCCTGCCACAATTGGCAGGAACAGCGGGACCTTGCCGGTGCTGTGATGAGTGATTGGAGGGGCCGGTTCTAGGGGCTGGACCCACATTCTGTGCAGCTGCAAAGGGGATATCTGTATTCATTTACGAATACGAATATCCGCATCTCTACTGCCCATCTCAAGAGGGATGTGATGGCGCTGTGGGTTAAACCGCTGAAGCCTCTGTGCTGCAAGGTCAGAAGACCTGCAGTTGTAAGATTGAATCCATGGGACGGAGTGAGCTCCCGTCGCTTGTCCCAGCTCCCGCCAACCTAGCAGTTCGAAAACATACAAATACAAGTAGATAAATAAGTACCACCTCAGTGGGAAGGTAACGGCATTCCATGTCTAGTCGCGCTGGCCATGTGACCACGGAAGATTGTCTTCGGACAAACGCTGGTTCTATGGGTTGGAAACGGGGATGAGCACCGCAACTTAGAGTCAAACACGACAGGACAAATTGTCAAGGGGAACCTTTACCTTTACCTAATGCCCATCTCTAGTGCAAAACTGTGCAGATTTCCTCAGAAATAAATTTCCCTTATGGGTTGGAAACGGGGATGAGCACTGCAACTTAGAGTCAAACACGACAGGACAAATTGTCAAGGGGAACCTTTACCTTTACCTAATGCGCATCTCTGTGCAGATGTCTTCAGAAATAATTTTCCCTGGATGTATAGTACTGGAAATAATTTTTTTCCAGAAAAATAAATGATATATTTCTCCAAATATTTCATTTATTTTTCTGGGGAAAAAATTCATTTCCAGTACTATACATCCTTCTGGAAGTGTTTTACGTAGAAGGAGAAATATTATGTATGGGAGCAGAACCCACTAGATATAGTAGGATTACTTCTGAATAGCATCCCTAGGATTGCACTTTGCCTTCTTTAAAAACAAAGAAGCTGAGTCTGTTACATAAACTGCTGCATTAGGACTGCACTATGATCTTCCCATTTTTATTAAGCACTCATAATTAATTAAGGTTGGAGCGCCACATCCACATTGGTATAAGTCCCACTAAATTCTGTGCAACTTACTCCTGAGGAGGCACTTAAAGGCTTCTGCTGTAATTGATTCTAACCCCCTCTTAATCCATAATGGTTCCATTTGAAAACTGAACATTTTTAATTTATTTATGTCTTTAAAATATTTTTACCCAGCCTTTCTCCTTAAACAGGACCCAAAGTGGTTAACATCATTAAAATATATATATCATCTTTTTTAAAAGGATACAAATATTTAAAAAGAACAAATATTATATTAAAAGTGATAAATAAATTCAATACTAAAAACACATTCAAAAGCACCAAAGCACAACAAAGAAAAAAAACCTCAAAATAGCCAATCACTAAGGAAAAACCTGCCTGAAGATAAAGTCTTCATTTGCTTGTTTTGAGTCACCCAAATACGAGCAGGACAACTGCTTAAAGATACATCTGAAGTTCTGAATATTTCCTCCCAGCCACCGCCGGACCCCACAAGATATGGAATCAGGTCTGCAAGATCAGGACTGATCCTAGAAAGAAAATAGCTGCAAAGGGAGATGGGAGAAGCCATGAGATGGGAGGTGGGAGCTGGCAGTCAACATGTGTTCGAAGCAGAAATCACAATGATGGCCTCTGGAAGATCTCATCTCCTAAATGTAGACTGTGCTTGACTGCATCCCAATGTTGAGTGGGTTTGTAAGTGTCTTTAATTAGTGCCTTTTTAATCTTGACATACATTTAATTGTATTTGACTAGTGCAACTTGTCGTGATTTTGTTCTATATGCTGCTTAATCGTTTGTAAGCTGCTGTTTACCACTCTTGCAGGGAAAAGTGGGCTAGAAATAAAGTAAATAAATAAAAATTTTAAAAAGAGCACTTTTTGAGTTCTTCTGGTGCTGAAGGAGAGAAATCTCTAGGGGTTTATGGCTGTCTCAATGTGTCAAGACCACCTGTCTTACCAAAAATCACCAATTCTGGCTGAAACTCTTCATATTCCTGAGCCCACTCCATTGTCAGTGCACATTAGGACCAAGGAGGATAGCAAGCAAACATGTGGAAGGCAGGTATGTCAGCAAGTCTTTGGGTCCAAGTCTCGCGTCCCAAACCCCAAATTTGGAGTCCCTATTAAAAACAAGCTTTTTCCCCAGGGAAAAAAAGGGGAGGGGTGGGTGGGTTCAGAGGGATTCATGAGTCAAGTCAAAGCCATTGAAAATAAAAAAAAAACTGTGTCAAGTTCAAGTCAAGTCACTGGTGCCCCTTAAGTCTGACTTGACAGCGTGTCCAATGATTTGAGTCATGGAAGGAGACATGTTCCAAACCCCTGCTCTAAAGTGGAGGCTTTTTAGTGGATAAGTTCATAACTGGTAACAGGATCGCCCATTGTGGTCTTATCTTCTTCTTCTTCCTTCCAGTTTTACGTCTTCCTTTTCTTAAAGCTGCACCAAGCAAAGCACAAACCTTCGAAAGAAGAACCTTGATTTGGCATCTATGGGCATTCTTACAACAGCTGCAATTGCACCTTATCTTCTGGTTCAGTTCTATTCCAGCATGTAAGAAAGGGAAGCCAGTTTTCCAGCCTGAAGTTTTGCTCATTTTTTTTCTTCCTTACTCAATGCCTAAAAGCTGTTGCATTGCATGTTAACTCAATAGGCTGGACCTTTCTGCACCATTCTTTCGCAAATGGCTTTTAGTGGCTTCACTATACCTACATATATATTTAGTAATCCTCATTCCAGATACAATCGGCAATTTCCTCCAAGTCCTCAAGGTTTCTTTCCAAGGGTAATTTTAATAGCAGTTAATAAAGTGACTTGTAGAATGGGTGGGGTGTTCTTTCCTCTGCTTTCCTTCCACCGCTTTTTTGTAACGTCCCTCCAAAATCCTCTCATCGTGTGCAACATTTACAGCCCACGCCTTTGCCGAATCTACTAACAAGAAAAAGGCATGCAAGTTCCTGAATGGGACAGGAATGAGAATCTCTCTGCTCATAGACAAGGTGGTCCATTCATATTGGCCCTTTGATCCGTGAAAAGGAAACTAAGCTGTTTTGTAGCCTACATCACAGAACAAAATGGGGCACGCCCACACATTCCCTTCCAAGTATATAGGCTGTCCAGACTAGTGGTTAAATCTTTCTTCAACACTGGGAAAGTGATACCATCTGGAAAGAGAAATGTCCATGAGAAGAGAAGACTCTCTGGAAAAGCCCCTGATGTTGGGAAAGTGTGAAGGCAAGAGGAGAAGGGGACGACAGAGGACGAGATGGCTAGACAGTGTCATCGAAGCGACCAACATGAATTTCACCAAACTCCAGGAGGAAGTGGAAGACAGGAGGGCCTGGCGTGCTCTGGTCCATGGGATCACAAAGAGTCGGACATGACTAAACGACTAAACAACTACGACGAAGCAATCCTAAAGCTACATGCGGATGTATCTTCTGGTAACACTCCACCCCTTGCCGACTGACAGGATCTGCTGCCTCTCTCTGTCTCATGGTACCTTATCATCTCCATCAGTTCTCTTGTCTATAAGAACAAAAAGAAGCCCCCACAATTCTGGTCTATCAGCATGTGCCCCCTTGTAGACACACTGCCTCCATCCTTTCACCCATGTCAGTTCATGTTCACCTGGGTTACAAATTCCACTCAGTATCCATCCTTGATAGCGATGCACTAGATGCCTCGATCATATTAGAGTTAAGAGAAAAGGCCACCCATGTGGCTGATGAATGGAAAAAAGAAAAAAAGCATAAAATACCATTTCTCTCCTTCCCCTTTCAAAACCATCTTTCAAAATTGACAGGCTTGTTCTTTTCCAAAACCACCATCATCATCATTAAATGAGCAATAAATACATTTTTTAAATGACATTTTGGACCTCTCTGCTATTTTCTTTCAGTTTCCAAACCCCTGATTATGTTCAGGATAAATAGTGACCCTGTAGTTTTGATCCTGGATTTCATTCAGGGAGAAAAAGAAATATTTCTGCTTTTCAGAAATACACGAGATAAACAAATGTGGGAATGCAGCATTGCAACCTGCATATTTTTATTGCAGTTCCAAGCATCAGGCATTTCAAATTTGGCCGACGCTTTTTTGACAGGAATGTGCCGGCAACCTCCTTATTTTGTAAACGAATGATTGTGAAACCAGCAGAGATGACCCAAAATGTTATCATTTCTACTGATCCAGTTGGAACCCATGCTTGTCAAATCTGCAAGCTTCAAGACATCACCAGAGAAGGAATGTTTAGAAACATTCTCATAACCGAATGGGAAACGTTAGGGAAAAATAAAGAAATTCTGCCAAAGTCCAGAACACACTTCTGAGATCATTCTTCAAAAACGGTGCAAAGCATGAGCATCAACACTTTAAAGCAAAGACAAAGAGTGTCAGGATCCCGTACATTCTCCATTTGCACGTGGTAGAATAACATGTGCTTTTATGAAAAGGAAAAAATTGAATCTTTTTTTTCCTACCTATCAATGATCACAGGATCTGAAGGGGTCTCGTTGCGGTTCCCGCAGCTTTTCTTTTCACAACAACGGCTGGAGGTAGAAGAAAACAAAACAATTTAGGAAATTCAATATAGATACCCCGGTTCAGGATACATGTCCAATTTCCTTGGGTAACCACCTGAACTTGAAAAAAGTAATCCTGGCCAAGGTCCAGAGCTAACCAGAGAATGGAAATAATTACTTTTCTGGAATTCTGGAAGTTTGCAGTCCAAAACGTGAGGGTGTGATCTGATAGCGGCAAAAGCATGTCCCTAATTACACTGGAAAGAATCACTTTAATGAAAGCTGTCTCCTCTAACACCACCCTTCCATCCATCCGGGAATCATTCCTACTTGGCCCCCAAAAATAGAAGCCCTACAGCTGGATTGAAAAGGTCCAACATGGGCGTGGATTGTGGTTGGGCTGGAGAAAATTTATCCCTGCCTCGTGTGATTGCCAGGAAATAAGTCCTATGGGTCTGCCCCACAAGTGGTCCAAATTAAGATCTAGTTCCCTGTGTGGTCAGACCCTAAGTTGTCTGATTCCCACAGTTTATCTCACAGCAGTGAAGGTGACCATTCACATTTTAAATCTAATTCCCTTGAACAACACTACTTTGAAGGCACTGTGGGGAAACAGAAGCAGCTGTTCCATGACACCAGAGGCCCCTCAGAACATAGCCCCAGACATCTCCCTGTAGATCTGGGGAAAGGCACTTGTATAAAACTCCAAGGAGCAACTGTCAACGTATGCCAGTCTTCTCTAACCTGGCCTCCTCCGCATGTGTTGGACTACAAGTGTCATCATCCACACCCATCTTGTCACTGCTTCCTGGCGAGGATAGGAGTTGTGGCAGAAAGCCGAGTCATGTGCCTCTGTGCTGGCATGAGTCATACCAGCATAAGCCAGGCACTGTGGGGTGTGTGGCTGTGTTGTCCACAAGGGCATTAGGAGCGCCTGTGGACGACGCTAGGAGCATTATCAAGGAACAGTTGAATCCAACCTGTGATCCAGGACTGCCACCAGATGTTTTGCTGCTTGAGTGAAGGGCCAGGATGATGATTCTCCTTTCCAACTCCACTACCACTACCTTCTGTACATCCACCAAATACCTTACCAGTTAAAAATGTTCTCCATTATAACTATGGCCAATAGGTTGCCAGGCTAGCTAACTAACTAGCTGGCTTGATTGATTGGTTGGTTGATTGGTTGGTTGACTGAGTCACTTTTCTACTGAAAGAAGGATATAAGGCAACTTTCAAATAATTTTAAAAACTATTAAAACAGCTGAAGTCACAAACAATTGCAATATTTTAAAAGATTAAGTGGATCAGGCATTAAAAAGTACTGGGTTAACAGCCTTTGAAATGATTTAAAAACATATTTAAACAGATGGAGGCTAGAACTCTCCCATTCAAACTCTTCCTTAGCAGCTATTTCTTTATTTTAAAAGCCCGCCTAAATAAGAAAGGTCTTTGCATTATGGAAGAACAACAAGGAAAGAATCAGCTTGGTTTCCGGTGGAAGGGAGTTTCACAGGCTGGGAATAGCCACCACAAAGGCCCTCTCCCATATCTACATCAAAGGTACCCGTGAGGGTGCTGAGATCTAGAGAAAGGTCTCCCCCAAGGATGCTAACAGGCCAGTGTTCTCACTGCCAACAGATGGAATTACGTGGGGAGTCAAGATAGCACATCCAGCATCAACCACTTCAGCAGTTGCACCACATGGCCTAAAAATAGGGCCGGCCCTTCATTCTGGGAAACTTAGGGATCGAACTGAACAGGATAGGAGAATCTAGAAGCTGTATGAAGTCAACTAACCTCCCTCCCTCCCTTCCATCCATCCATCCATCTTTCATTCATTCATGATGGATGAGCAGTGGTGGAAAAGGTAGATAAGAAGCCGTAGGAGCCACTTTAGGTTCTTGTACGTGAAATGGCATCATAGAAAAGAAAAACACACTGATTTGCACATTGATCCAGCCCTGGAAGTCCACTATGTTGGCTACTGACAGGCAACAATATATGGCTATAACTTTTCAACAGTGGAAGAATTTTATGCCATTGTTTCCTTTCAACCTAATGAACTCAACTACATGGGTATAGTCCCCAAACCGCAAAACAAGACCTGCTTTGAAATACTGAAGCAAGTATGGGGGAAATTAAAATTTAATATATTGAATGCTACCACCCCATGCTAGAAGCAGTATTTAATAAAGTTGTTCCCTCACACATATTTGCTGTATGAGAGAAAGATTGTTCTGTTTCCCCAGATTATTAATGCTATGTAATGGCTTATGTCTCTTTTAATTTCAATCTCATGTTTTATGTACAGTATAATCTCATGTTTTTTCATTCCTTTCTTTCTTGGATTTATAATGAGTACTATTTTTAATAAAATGATTGGGTGTCAAGTAAGGCTGCACACCAGACTGGCCCACATTCCAAACCCAATGGACCCGATTCAGACTGGCTTGTAGAAGGCCTGGATCAAACTAGAGTGGCCAGATTCAGTTCCGAAAATGAAATAAATTTACAAATCTGCTTGAATCACAACAGGAATCAAATCAAATCAAATCAAATCAAATCAAATCAAATCA